CTCTTTGGATTCCTCCTTGGGCTGCTGGCTTTGGAAGGGTGGAGCGGCATATTTCCCAGGCTCCTGAGGGCTTGCATCTACAGCGGGAGCTTTTCTGCGGCCTTTTTGAGGAGGGTTCATTGGAGTGAGCTTACTGCCAGTTTTCTATCTAGGGGCAGCGGGGCCCAGCTGGTGCTGGAGACATGGTGCAGCACACTGTTGGAGACCTAGTTCTGACAATAATGATAAAGTCACCCAGTCACTTTTTAATGACATTTTGATTTTCAGAAACAGCATGACAGATCTTTGCCAGGTGGCATGGCATAATGTCTTTCACGGCCTCTGGATCAAGGACCTTCCCAAGACTTTGAGGACGTCCTGGTTTCTCCTTTGGAGGAACTGGAGGGTTATGATCAGCTGAGCTTGGAGAAGGTACCAGCAGTGGATGGCTGGTGCCTGAGACTTGCCATGGATCCCCCCCCCCCGTTGTGGAGGCCATTTTGTCCTTGGTTTTTAAAACTGACTTCTGAATGGTGGGGGGCTTCCCTTCATGGAAGCTGAGTGCCCTCTCTCAGGTAAGAGTTGGGGGGGGGGATTGGTGAGGGCATGGAATAGGGCAACCATGGCCAGCCTGGTGAGAGCAGTTGGTGGGCGAGGCCTTTGTTGGTAGGCTGTGGAGGGAGGGGGGTCTATTTGAGTTCCCGAGGCGCTGAAAGCATGGGCTAAAGTACCTGGAGGACTCAGCTTCCCCCTCCTTTAGATGGAAGAATGTAAAGGGAAGATGTCAGGATCCCCTGTTTTGGGAACCAGAGGGCATGTGGGGGTGGAGATCTGGGGGTCTGAGGACCCTGGGGGCAAATAGGAACATTGTTGTGGTGATGGGCAAGGGAAGGTATGGTGGGGGACCAGGAGTTGCCATTCTTGGGGAATATTGCCTGATGCCTTGTACTGGTTTCTTGTTCTGGCCCTCAGTTTTCAATCCCAGTTCCTCATCAGAAAGTCTTCAGAGGCTCTGGTTTCAACTGTTGCTACTAAATACCAGGTCAGCCTGTAATATAGCCTCCCTCACAGATGAGAGGCTGACCTGGCATGTATTACTGAGACCTGGCTGGGTGTGGAGGGGGAAGGTTCCCTTCTCAGCAATTTGCCCAGCTGGGTTTCTGGTGTGGCATGAGCCAAGAATCCAAGTGAGGTGTGGGAGTGTGTCAGTTGTCATCTGGGAGTCTCTTACTGCTTTCAGGGATGTGAGACCCTGTTCCATACGTTGGGCTCTAGGATTCAGTTGGGACTGTTGCTATTGTACCAGCCTGCCTGCTACATAGCAACCTCCCTGCCTGAGCTCCTCCACTCCATCTCAGGGTTGGCAGTGGAATTCCCCAGGCTTATGGTCCTGGGGGATTTCAATCTCCCTTTTCTGGGAGTGGGTCCAGGAGTTCATGGGCTATCCCAGATCATCCAGAGCCTGACATGGGACAGAGGTCACACACCTGATCTGGTTTTCATGTTGCAGCAGTGGCAGTGTGATCTGAAGTTGGGGGAGCTCTTTCCAG